GAGCAGCATACACACTGGGCTCATCTGGGGGCTCCTCTGACGGGGAGGATGCAGGTGCACATGTCTTCCTTTTGAGGGTCGAGGGGTTCAGATGGGCGTAGGTCACATCCTGGGGGGCGTCAGGTGCAGCCTGGAGCAGGGGGAGAGAGAGGGATGACACTTGGTTGTGGTTGGGGAAACCTGGAGGTCTGCAGAGAATGGGACCCACTGGACTGTCCATCTGTCTGTTCTCTTCTGCTTGTCTGCCCTTTGTGTCCAGCAATTCCTCTGACAGGGAGGAAGGAGAGGTGGCCATTCCCTGCTTGGGTCTTGGTCTTGAGTGGCTTACATGGGCAGACATCACCCCCTGGGGGCCTTCACCCTGCCTGTTCTGCTGGAGACAGTGAGACAGAACAGTGTGTCCTTGATTCCACAGTAGAAATCCTCCTGTCACTTATCCTCATGTTGCCAGAGAGATGATTTACACTTTAAATCAGAGGTTCTCAACCTTCTGGCCCTTTAAATACAGTTCCTCATGTTGTGACCCAACCATAAAATTATTTTCGTAGCTACTTCATCACTGTAATGTTGCTACTGTTATGAATCATAATGTAAATATCTGATATCCAGGATGGTCTTAGGCGACCCCTGTGAAAGGGTCGTTCGACCGCCAAAGGGGTCGCGACCCACAGGTTGAGAACCGCTGTTTTAAACATACATGCGTTAAGGCCCAATTATTCTGACATATACAAATCTACAGAAATATTAACGAAAGTGCACAAACATATATGTATAAGGATGGTCACTGAAGTGAAGCAATGTTTGTAATAGCAAAACATTGTAAAGATCCTAAATTGTCTATCAAGGAAGTAGTTAAATAAATTAAAGTACATCCAGGCAATGGTATAATATGCAACTATTAAAAAGATGGAGGAGTGTATGTATATGAGATGGAAATAGGCCAACAATATGTTGTTAAATCTAAAAAAGGCAAGTTAGCCCTAGCTGTTTTGGCTCAGTAGATAGAGCATCGGCCTGAAGTCTAGAGGGGAGGGCAGTGTGGACGCTGCTGAGAACCAGGTGAGGTGGGACAGGGAAGGGTCCATTGGATTAAACTGGGCAACAGAAGGTCCTTGGTGGCCTGGACAGGAGCAAGGGTCTCACCTGAGGGTCCAGCTCCATGCTCTCTCCAGGCTGTGGGTCCTTCATGGCAGCATCTGCTGGGGCAGAATGGGGTGGGGGGTGTCTCCTGGCAGGTCCCCAATATCTCAGGGCTGCAGACCCCACCTGTTCCAGATGGGCCACTAACCCAGGGTGAGGTGCAAAGCCAGGTCACACAGTGTGGGTCTCAGTCCTTCTCACCCCTGACCCCCATCCTCCCAGCCTAACCCTCCCCATCATCTCCCCCAAACCCTGTGCCCTCGCCCCCAGGGCAGCTGTCTCTTCCTCTCACAGAGGTGCTCCTCCTGGGTGTCCACAGCTGGGCTGGAGCTGAGGGAGGAGACAGAAAGTTAGGGGCAGAGCTGGGCCACAGGATGTGGGTGTTGGGGGACTTGGGGGCAGGAATTACCTGCTCTGCAGGCCTCTGTCCTTGGCGTCTGGGTGTGTGGTCCCTGCAGGAGGTTGGACATGAACCCCTCTCTGGGCTGGACAAGAGGGACAGTCTCAGCCCTGGGAGGTTAGAACCCCCTCCCCATGTGATTCCACTGAAAACTAGGAAACCTTAACATACCCCTGTGTGTAAGTATTAATATTTCGTAAGATGAAGGTGATGAAAGATTACCTTAAATACATACATGTGGGCTGACATTAAGTGTATTCTTTCTAGGTTTTCTGATTTGAGATTCTGGAGAAATCCTTTTCTCTGTTGACTTTCTCCATCTATTTGGTTTCCTGTGGCAGGTGCTCTGAGGCCCGCTCCCTCATGTGACCCAGGTCACCCCGTCCCCTACTCACCTAACTTCCTGCCTTTGTGCTGACGTCGGTGTCGTAGGAGGAGGAGGAAGAGGAGGAGCGAGAGCAGCAGGAAAAGGGCCACCGAGACCCCTATCAGGATGTTCAGGTTCCATTTGGGACCTTGGACATGAGTGAAGTCATGAATGAGCCAGTGATGCCAGTGAATGAACACCTACTGTGTGCAAGGCATGTGCTGGGGTCTGTCACTCATCTCCTCTCACCTCAGGCACCAGGGATTGCTGACCCAACCACCCACTTCCCTGAGGCTCAGAGAGGTTAATCACCTGCCCCAGGTCACCCAGCCTGGACGGGGCAGGGCTGGGAGGGGAACCCGGGACTGTGAGTTCCCTGTGCTGTCTTCTCGCTGCCCCCAGGGGGACACCAGCTTTGAGCTCTGGGCTCCTTTGCAGGGGCCTGTCCACGTCTCATCTGGAGATGAGGGCCCTTCCTCACTACCCGCCCCCAGCACAGCAGGGACAGGAGGGGCAGGGTGAGGGTTGGACTCCCTGTCTCTCCAGGATCCGTCTCCACCCTGCAGGCCCTGATACCCCCTTGGGAAGGTCGGGCTGGGCTGGGGGCTCTGCCCTCCTGAGCTCTGTGAGGCCCTTATGTCACCTCATCTCCTAGCATCCTGTGAGCAGGTTGGGACCAGGGATGAGAAGACAGGAACCCAAGACTCAGAGAAGAGAAGGGACCACCTAGCCCACAGCAGGAGCAGCAGAGCCAGGAGCTGAACCAGGGCTGATCCACCCTGTTCCCTCCTCTGATCTGAGCCTGAGCTGAGGGGTAGGACCTGGTACCCGGACCCTTGTCCTGCCCGTCCCTCCCTGTACAGTGTCACCGTCACTGAGGCAGAGGGGACAGGCCCCATAACATCACGTCCTGGTTGTTTCCCTGTGAGGCCCCTCTCCCAGGAGGTCAGGGCCAGAACTGACAGGAAATCTTAGCTCTGGACAAGGATTCTCTCCTTTTACACCTGGAGACACTGAGGCCCATGCAAGGAAAGGGCATGTCCAAGTCAGTGTCCCTGGGAGGGTGTAAACCCGTTCATGGCTCAGCCCCTGTTTCCCATGGAGGCACCGACCAACTCCCACGGAGACCCTCATTTACTCCTCTGTGGGCCTGACTCCATGGGGCAGAGGGGGCTGATCCTCAGAGCCTCCTGGGAATCAGGATGGGTGAGGGTTTGGTGCTGCCTTTTCCCCAGTTGAGTTCACTCTCCCTCCTGAGACTGGGTCCCCACATCTCCCTCTGCTATGACCACCCCACCTGTCACCTGCCTCACTTCCCCCTCTTAGGCCTGACTCTGTGGTGGGTGAGGGGTGAACCCTCAGAGCCCCTGGAGGCCTGTGGTCCCCCTGAAATCTCTCCTGGAATCCCTGCCCTGCCCCCCGGACAGAAGCCTGTCCTCAAGTGTCAGGGGGCATTAGATCCTCTGAGAGACTCAGAACCGCCCGGGGATGGTCTGTCTCCCTCTGAGCAGAGGGGACCCAATGGTTCATCAGCTGTGGACATGGGCCCTGTGGGTGGGGGGCTGGGGTCCCAGAGGGTCCTGGGAAGGAGGACAGAAGGAGTGAGAATCTGGGATTGACCCTGGACTCCCCACCTCACTCAGATCCCCCTGCATCTGCCCTGCGGCCCCTCAGACCCTCCCACTGCCCACCGGGCACGTTCAGGATTCAGGTGACGGGGAGGGGTGCATGTGGGGTTGAAGCGGGTCTATGAAGTGCAAATGTCTTCTGGGTGACCATCTCTAGTGCACCCATACTCTACTACAGCCTATTATCCTTCTGGAGACCGGACCCTGAGGTGACAGGGTCAGGGGCCACTCACCTGAGACCAGGAGCTCAAGGGGCTCACTGGGGGGTGACAGCAGGAAGGGGGAGGAGCTGTGTGATCTGTAGCACCTGTAGGTGCCCCCATGGGCTGAGGTCACAGGGCTCATAGAGAACTCCGCCTGGTACTGAGCTCGGTGCTTTGATTTCAAACGCAAGGGGTGATCTGCTGCCCCCTCCTTGGACAGAATGAACGTGTCCGTCAGGCTCCGTGACTGACACAGCAGGGTCACGTTCTCTCCTGAGGACACCCTGGGGCCTGGATGCACCAAGAGGGAAGGTCTTTCACGCAGCCATCCTAGAGAAAGAGGAATGGAGGGTGAGAGCTGTCTGCCACCTTGTTCTGACCTGAGAGTCTCCAGGCCTCTCTCTGAGGACCCTCCTCTCTGTCTGTCTCTGTTTCTCTGAGTCTCCCCCTCTCCCCTCCCACCCACTGTCTCTCTCTGTCTATCTCCCTCCCTGGAGCCTGCACTGTCATTCTGGCCTCACCACCTGAGACCCCAGCAGGGTCTGTGCAGAGTCTGGTCCCTGACTGAACCAACCTGCTGCTCACCTGCCACCAGGATGTCCAAGGGGTCACTGGGGGCCGACCACTCAGAGGAGAGGTTGTATCCACCGTAGCATCTGTACCGGCCCCCGTCTGAGCTGCTCACAGTGTCCAGGGGGAAGTGGGCCTGAGAGAGCCCAGCCTGGGGCTGCAGGACAAGGCTCTGGGGGAGGACCTGTCCCCCCTCCTTGTGCAGAGCGAATCTGTCATAGCCGACATCAGAGCGACACTGGAGGGTCAGGCTCTGTCCAGAGGCCACAATGGGTCCCTGCTGGCTCAGGAGGGAGGGCTTCCCAGACTCACCTGGGGAGAACAGACATGAGTTACAGGGCTGCTCCTCCCAGAACCCCCTTCTCCTCGGCTGGCCCCTGAGTCTCACTATCTCTCTCTGTCTCTGATCCATGGGTCCCTGTGCTTCCCTCACCTTCTCACGTGGGGCTCCCCTGCCAGCAAAGATGCCAATAATGTACCTGGTGCCTCAATCCATGGATGGGACAAAAACGGGACTCACCTGGGACCAGGAGTTCCAGGGGGTCACTAAATGGTGAGCACACCTGGGGGCTGTTCCTGGAACAGCCATAGCATCTGAATGTCCACCTGTCGCTGGCGGTCACGGGGCCCACAGAGAACAGGGCTTTGGACTGCCCACTGGAGTGTGGTGAGTCCAGGGCCCAGGAGAGCCTGTGATCTCCTTCCTTAGTCAGAATGAACCTGCCAAATCCCTGCCATGAGCCACACCGGAGGGTCACGTTCCCTCCTGAGGTCACGACACGGCTGGGCAGGGCTGTGAGGCTGGGTTTGCTGTAGGATCCTAGGAGTGGAGAAGGCAGCGTGTTATATGGGGCTCGCACCTCCCTCATGTCCCCCAGGGCTGGCCTGTGAGAGGGAGACACCCTGAGAGCAGACCCCCTTCCTGAGGGCACAGCCTGAGGCTGGGACCTCTGAGTGTCCTCTCACCTGACAGCACCACCAGCTCCAGGGGGTCACTGGGCTCTGACCAGCCACCAGGGCTATAACAGTAACAACGAAATATCCCAGCATCATGCTCTGTCATTTGTGGAATGTAGAACATCACCTTTTCCCCAGGCTTCAGTGGCTCCTCTCTTTTCCATGGTGCTGTGCTTCCCTCTTTATCCCGACGGTACTCCTCAGCCCGTG